AATTGAAGTTCTTTTTTCAGCATCTGCCAGTATCTGCCTTTTCACATTAGTTCTTTGGGTTTATTTGTTTGTTTTTTAAGATATTAACCCACAAAAAATAATCATTCAATTTTTGACCTAAGAAATTCCTTTCCTTGGAAGTCTTTGTTAATACACCTTGTTGAAAGGTGCATGGAAATTCAGTTATGCTCTACCAACTGTCCTACCATTATCAGCATGTTGTAGTAGATCTGCAAAGAATGGTTTCTCCTTACAAAACCCACACTGACTCTCCCCCTCATATTATATCTCTCATATATACATGTTGGTTCTGATTTTATTTAGTCTTCACCAGTTTTCTTGGTAGAGAAGCCAGACTTGCAGATCCTCCTTGTAGCCCTTTTAAAAAACTTGTGTGCTTCTTTTCAGCTTTGATTCCTCTGGAGTCTTGGGCTAACTTAGTTCATGTAAAAATCTGTAGTCCAATAGGTTTACATCCGAGTTCATTTTAAAATTTTTTCAAGTCTTTTGTGACCCCTGGTTACTCCTGGGAATTTATTGCTATTTATTTTATATTTTCCTTTAAAAAAAACACAAACTTCTACTGACTCCTTCATTTGAGATTATCCTTTCATTCAAAATATTGCACAGTGGGGTCAATCAAAGTTCTCCCTAGAGAAAACTAATGCAAAGAACAAATTTACCTTTATGGCTATGGCTTACCTCCTTGGCCACACACTGACAATCTACATCTTCTCTGGCAGTATTACAGCTCTTGAGATGCTTGAAAAAGATGACAAGTAGATCCTCCTTCGCATTTTCTAAGATGCTCACTATCCTTTTTAAGTGATCATTAAGGGGCTCTAATGTTCTTCATATATAGGGACAGAATTACAACCCCTAGAAAAGGGGTTATTTATTGACAAGGTCCACCTATTTATCCTATCTGACTTCTATTACAACTTTTCACACTATTTCTCTACAACTGTGACTTATTCTTTAATACAATTTACAACCTTATATCACAGTATTCCACTCACTTCTTGCCATCAAGATTCATAAATGAAGGTCCTTGAGGTCCCTTCCAACCTGGTATTCTATGATTTATGAAATGCCCAATACATCAGTAACACAAAGGGAAATTAGGCATCCTACATAATATTTTTTTTTATTATTTTAGATGTTTGATATTAGCACAGAAGTACATATTTATTCCACAACTTACTTTTCCTGTGTTCTCCTTCTTAAGTGAAGCTAATTTTTTCAGGGTATTCTTCACCCATTCTAAACTGAATTTTGCTACTTGCCTTCATATGTTTTATAGGTATGGATGTTTTATAACCACATCTCCAAAGAAAGCTATACACTAAATTATCTGTTACTTCAAACCCTAGTCCTCAGTTCAAAAATGCAAAAGGTTATAGGGTATTTTAAGTGCCAGCATCACAACCATTTTGTATTAGATTATAATTGTAGATCCCTTCCAACGGAAATAGTCTAATCCATTGTAACAGATTAAGCAGACAAGACAAGGGTTCTAGATTTTAGAAAAGCAAAATTCAGCTTGCTCAGAGCTCAGTTGGGAGGGATTCTGTGGGATGCTTCCATGAAAGATAAAGGAGCTAGACAGTGCTGGGAGTTCTTCAAGAATGCTCTCTTGGTGGCACAAAACCAGTTTATCCCTGATAAAGGGAAGAAGAGCAAGAGGCCCCCTTGGCACAACTATGAGCTCCTGAGTCTGCTCAAAACCAAAAAAGAAGCATACCAGAGACAGAGAAGTGGAAGATTATCCACTGAGAACTACAAGGGCATTGCCAGAGGGTGCAGAGATGCAGTTAGAAAAGCAAAAGCCCAGCTTGAATTGAAACCAGCCAAAGATGTCAAAATCATAAGAAAGGGTGGTCCTTTGGGTATGTAAACTACAAGCAGAAACAGAAGGAAAACATAGGCCCACTGTTAAACAGAAGAGGTGAATCAGTCACCAACAATGTGGAAAAGGCAGAGGTCCTCAACACTTTCTTGACCTCTGTCTTTACCAACACTGATGGGTCCCAGGCCTCCAGGTTGATCCAAACACAAACCCATCATCAGTGAAGGACGAGTTAGTATGTGAATTACTACAGGAACTTAACCCCTACAAATCAATGGGCTCTGACGCCATCTGCCCGAGCGTGTTGAGGGAGCTGGCTGATGTCATTGCGAGGCCACGCTCCATATTTTTTGAGAAGCTGTGGAGATTGGGGGATGTCCCAGAGGACTGGAGGAAGGCAAATGTTACTCCTATCTACAAGAAGGGCTCGAGGGAGGATCTGGGTAATCATAGGCCCATCAGTCTTACTTCAATCCCCAGGGAAGTTACGGAACGAATCCTCCTGGGGGCCATCACAAGTCAAATGAAGCACGTAATTGGAAAAAGCCAGCATGGCTTCAGTAAGGGCAGATCGTGCCTGACAAACCTGGTGGCCTTCTGCGACAAAGTGACCTCTTGATTGACATGGGGCAAGTTGTGGACATTGTCTACTTGGACTTCTCCAAGGCTTTTGCCCCATGGCCTCCTCCTGGAGAAATTGATGCATTATGGCCTAGACAAGTGGTCTGTGCGGTGGGTGGGGAATTGGCTGGCAGGCCACACCCAAAGGGTGGTGGTAAATAGCTCTTTTACTAACTGGCAACATGTCACAAGCGGGGTCTCACAGGGTTCGATATTGGGCCCAATACTATTCAATATCTTCATAAGTGATCTGGATGATGGGCTCAAGTGTAGCCTGAAGAAGTTTGTAGATGATACCAAATTGAGTGGGGAAGTAGACATTCCAGAAAGGAGAGCCACCCTGCAGGAAGATCTGGATAATCTGGAAGAATGGGCTAACAAGAACCTTATGAAGTTCAATACAAACAAGTGTAAGGTCTTGCACCTGGGAAAACACAATCCAGGAGTGCAGCACAGACTGGGATCCACCTGGCTGGAGAGCAGCTCTATGGAAAGGGACCTGGGGGACAACAAGCTCAATATAAGTGAGCAGTGTGCTGCTGCAGCCAAGAAAATAGGATGTTGGGTTGCATCAAAAAGGGTATCAGCAGTAGAGATAAAGAATTCATTATCCCACTCTACTCAGCACTTGTCAGACCACACCCAGAACATTGTGTACAATTCTGGTCCCACTATACAAAACAGATGTGGACAAACTGGAGAGGGTCCAGAGAAGAGCCACCAAGATGATCAAGGGACTGGGAAGCCGGCCATATAAGGATAGGCTGAGAGAACTGGGTTTGTTCAACCTTGAGAAAAGGAGGCTTAGAGATTATCTCATCACCGTGTACCAGTACCTAAAGGGTAGCTACAGAGAAGATGGAGACTCCCTTTTTACAAGGAGTCACATGGAGAGGACAAGGAGGAATGGATACAATTTGCTCTTGCGGAGATTCCAATTGGACACAAGAGGGAAATTTTTCACCATGAGAACAGCCAACCATTGGAATAATCTCCCCAGGGAAGTGGTTGACTCCACCACATTGGACACTTTTAAGACTCAGCTGGACAGGGTGCTGGGCCGTCTTGCCTAGACTGTGCTCTTACCTAGAAAAGTTGGACTAGATGATCCTTGAGGTCCTTTCCAACCTAGGATTTTATGATTGTGTGAAGAAGAGTCTGTCTTTTTTCACAGGTTAGATTTCTTAATAAGTGCTTCCCATTCCTAACTTCCTAGACTACACATAATTTTCTTAACCAAGCACAGACTTTGCACAGTCCTAGCAATACTTCTGAGAAAGCTACCAGGATATATTGTCCTCTAACTTCCCAGCAATAGTTTATCTTTTGCCTTCAGGACCCGTCTCCTAGTTCTCCTGTTACGCTATTGGCTTCTTCAGGGACAAAACTTATGTTTTGTACTATAAAGAAACCATGCTGGTGGCCTGCAACATATCTCTCAAAAACACATTGAGCTGAAAAAAAAAAAGCCAACAACAACAAACAGAACAACCTCTCCAACAAAACATCCAACCTTACAAAAAATTAGTCGCAACAGTACAAGGTTACAGATAACCCACAGAGTCCAGAGAAGGCCTAAATCCAAGTTGTAAACGCTTTGGTTGCAGCTAGTCTACCGAAACAGAAACTGGCCCTAATGCAGCAAGAACCAGTATATCTACTTGCCCTCAGGGTCCCTTGCCATCTTTTATTTAATAGTATGAGCTTGATCAAGAGAACCATCTCTTGAGTGCCCCCCTGCCTTTGTAGATAGTAGTCTTCCAGCTAGGTAATAACCTAACCATGCCTGCAGAGGAAATTTCTGCTTCCAGATTAGTCTGAGTGCCAACCATATATGACCATCATCTGCTAGGAAGGTTTAAGTAAAAGAATGGGTTTTTTTCTGCTTTAATTAAGTATCTTCATGTCACAAGGCTTTCTTATGAGAGAGACAAGCAGTGAAGTTGCCTGCAGGATTTGGAATAAAGGGTGAGAAAAGGAATTTTGGCAAAAATAAAACCAGAAACCAGTTTTCACATGCTATGAATCTCATTTCTGAAATAAGAGAATTTTTTTGGTTCTGTGGTTGCATGTACAAAGACATTCGTAGTGGTAATGCATACACCAGAAAACAAATAAACACAGAGTGACAGACATCTTTTTCTAAGATATTCTCTCATAAAAAATAACTTAACACTGAAGCGCTTAAGATTCCTATTATAACTACTTTTCACTAAGTTAAGAAATTTATACACCTTGTAAAACCTGACAGTAAGCATTTTTCTCCTTATTCTATCCACTGCAGATGAATACTTTAATTGCATGTTCATATATTTAGATTTTGAGAGGAAAAAAGTTATATTTTTCAAAAATACATGCTACAGACTAGACAGAAGTTTGACTAGACAGAAAACAGGAGCAAAGAAATTTAAAGTTTAAGGTAATGCAGTTAAATTACTTCTCGTTTTTGGTTTTTTGGTTATGTTTTGTTTTGGTTTTTGTGGGGTTTTTTTGTTTGTTTATTTGTTTTAAAGAACACTCCAAAGGATATTGACATTTTTGCTACAAACTTATCGTGCTTATCTTCAGGAACTGGAAAAGTCTTCAGATCCTTCTCAAGCTGTTGGAGTTGCCTCTCCATATGCTTCAGGCTCTTCTCCAGGTTTTCTGCTGAGACTAAAGTACAGAACATTCATTCTGTTAACACCTTAAATAAGAAACATTGTTAAATACATGAGCTAAAACCTTACCCAAATCAGCATACTATGTTTTTAAATCTGAGATAAAAGCACACTGAACAAATTACAATACAAGATGAGGGAATCACTCTACAATGTTCAGTTCCCCTCACTTATGTGGTTGCCTTATTCTGATTAGATGTATGCTGTTTAAACACTGCATTTTTAAGCCTAAGGTTTTGCACTTCAGTTAGTGGTCTGTTTTAAATAACCTGAGATATACATATGCCAGTCTGTCTCTTCTGACTATCCCATGGGCAAGTTTTGAAGTTATTCCAATAACCACAAAGCTTTCTTCAATCTCATTCCGTTATAACAGAAAATACGAACATTTGTATGGAAAATCATTAAGAAAATAAGACCCTCAAAACATAGAGAAAATGGGGCTATTAAACACCTACACATGAAACCTAAGAGCTGATTCCCTAGTTTGAAAGCACGATGCCTGCAAGAAAACACAACAGAATTTGTCAGAGCGAAAGTGCTTGCCAAGCTGGAGGGAAATGCAAGCACTTGAGAGGGTGAGGCAGAACAAAACAGGGACTTACAAAAAGAAGAGAGTAGAGATGAAACATCAGGGATTTATAGAAGGATGTAGAAAAAGTAAAAATTTTCTTTATCAGAAAAAGAGAAATACAACTTTCATCAATTTGAAGCAATGCATAGAAGTTGTACACCTGATCTGTAAATAGCTGATTAAAATATCAAGATCATAAGAATAACCCTGAGGATAACTCCTGTTAGCATATATTCTATCTTGGATTTACATTATTGGAATCAGTTAAAACTTCCAGCCCCCCTGCAGTGAGCAAGGATATCTTTAACTAGATCAGGTTGCTTATATAGATAAAAACACACTCTGAATTTTAGTCTAGTGGCTTGATTTTTATTTTGTTGTTGTTGTTGTTTTGTTATTTTGTTCGTGATGTACTGTACCTATAAAGGTAAAGCTACCGTAAACTTAATTTAAAAAAATCCCTGGACAAATGTTGTGGCCCTGATGTTACCAGTATCTGTACCGGATCCATGATTTCATCCACTGAGTAGAGTTATGTGATGGAAAATATAAGATACACACACTGAACATATCTTTCTCTCATAAAAGCCTGACAGAGTCCCCAAACAACTTGAGTAAAATGTTGCATAGCAACTACAATCCCATTCATAGCAGAAAGGTTAACACAACTATAAAATGATCAATGGCAACCTGTTAAAATGCTAAAGTAACCTAAAAAAAAAAATCCAACCCAAACAATTTGGAGACAACCAACTTTTCTGAAAAGAATAAGGGAATATAAGTGTATATTCATATTATAACTCATCATTTGGTTTATAATCACAATTTTAAAAACCCTCTGTTTACTCAAAAATACTATTTTCCAATTGCATGTTAGACTTGGCAGACTTTCACTCAGCAATTGGTAAGCCCAAATCATCACCAGGTCGGACAGTTAGCTTCAGTTTTCCTTGTTTGGGAAGCAGAGCTAAAATTAGAAGCTGACAATGTTGATTACAGATGTGTTTCAGTCTTCACACATTCCGGAAAAAAACCTGATTTTATTATGAATTCATACTTCTGCTGTCATAAGAATCCTTTGAGGGTAGGCACACACACAATTTTAACACACTGTTTTACTTAGAAAGCTGTTGAGAAAACCAGAATATAATACCTTGTGCTTAACATAATTATTGACAGGACTCTTCACAATATAGTTTGTCTTGCATAAGAAGAGTTCACAGCATAAAATTAAAGTGAGATACTTACAAAATGTCAGAATGCTGAGACTCAGCATGTACACAGGTTTTAAAACAAAACAAAACAAAAAAATTCAAAAAAACCCTCTAAATCAATTGCAGGTAGTAACTGAGTAATAGCTACATTTTACTCAGATAAAAAAAAAAAAACCACAAAAACAAAAAACCAAAAAAACCCAATAAACCTCAGTGCCTACAGCCGATTCACTGGTTGTATACAAGACATATACAAGAGATATTTGAATTCTTGCTTCCAGCAAAGCCCATTTTTTATTTCTATTACCTTGGTTCTTTTGACCTTGAATAGTTACATATTTGATCAAGAATCTTTACATTTCTATCTTGTTCTGAAGGTGTTTTTTTTCTCTGTCATGATCTCAAGTTGATCCTGAATATAAAAATTCAGAATTGCTTTGATTTCAGCAGCGCACAAATATTAGTTGTATTTTCCTTTAAGACTGTATTTCTGGTGACAGCTTCAAGCAGAGGCTAGCTCACAATATGCTGGTATTCATTTGGTACCACTGTCTTTGCAACTTCTGATGTAGTGAAAACAGATGAAAAAAATAAAATCTGTAAACATAAGCAGACCTTCAACAAAAAGATCACATGAAATACCTGCCAACCTTCCCTTGTGCCCCTCTAGAAGACATGGTATAAAATCTGAAGGGACATCGAAGAATGGCAGAAAAGAAAAAAAAAAAAAATCCCTAACTTTGACCCCTAATCCTGGAAGGATTCAGATATAAACCCAAGACAAACTGAAGTAAGCAACTCATATGATAGTTTGGAAACAAAGACTGGGGGTTTGAATCTTAGTGAGCCCACAAACCAAACTGTTCATTAAATATAATGCATGTGTGCCTGAATGCTCTCTCACTTACACTGTCTGAACTCTCATACCCCTTTTTCAGAAAGGTTCCTGATATTTTTATAGGAAATAATTAGATTTCCTCACTTTCTGTCTTTCAGGGTTAAAACAACTTTGTTCTTCAAGTTTCCTCTCGATTCAGGTTTTCTAATAACACGGTTATTCCAGAAACCTCTTCACCTGCTTCTGTTCTAAAACATTTCTGCATAGTATTTCAGGTGATGACTCACCAACCCCTTTTAATGTTTGCATTACTATTTCTACAGGTCTACTGGAAATACATTATCTGATTATCTTATGATAAAATACCCTTTTTCCTTGACCAAAGCTCTTATTACAGTATCAAGATGCATGATCTTGTGCTTTACACTATCAGTTTTCATTTCTTTTACTCTGCTTCCTCAGGATCATTCAGTGATGACAACTCAATTGTCCTCTCAGCTGGCAATGCTGTCTAACCTTACTTTGTCATATATGCTCATTGGTTCAATACCACAATTTTATTTTTTTGACGTATTCCTTGTAGACAGTACTTTATGTTTCTTTTGACTTCTTATTCTAATTAATATTCTCCCATTTTACATAATATAAAATGCTTTCCTGAAGTCAACATAGATTTCCCGTGTCAAAGCTAGCAGATTTCTCTACTACAAATAAATTAATTTTCATTTTGTGCTATTCTCATTAACATCCACATGTTTTATTATTCTTTTCTCTATAAACTCTCATATCATTAAGGTCAGATAAAGAGATGTGTAATTGCCCAAATCATTCTTTTCTCCTCAGTTTCTTAAATATTCTGTAGGCACACAACATTACTATAGCCACAGAAAAACTTGGTAAAAAATGTACTTACTAAACTTTCGTTCCATATCTCAGTTATCTCAGAATGCAGAAATGGAAACTGGTATTTACAATATGAGAATATGGCACTCTGTTTTTCTTTCAACAAATTTCTATGGAGACATTTTGCTCCCCTCTTCCCCAACCCCAGATCATTATTCTTGCTTAAAATTAAAGCAATATTTCATCTTGTTTTGAGACTACACCTGTTTTATCTTAAGTCCTAGAAATAATTCTCCAAAGCAAAGCAATACTACTTGTGTGCTCTCTCATTTATATTGCTGTAAAACTTCTGCTACTTTTTGCAACAGATATTTCAGCTGATATTTCAGAAATCCTACACGCTGCCCAAACCTGTATGACAGTTTTCCTAGATGGTCACAATCTCCGTATCAAGAGAATCTTCCTTTTGCCTACAGACATTTCACTTCCCTTGTGCTATTCTGGCCCCTATGTTCTGAGGGGACAGAGTGACAGTGACAAGCTAATCTCTAGCCTGATACAGAAAACTATACCATATTGAATATATATAAAAATATACTATTGCTTTTATCATTTGAACTTCATACTGGACTTATGGACAGAGTTTACTGAATAATTCTCTAAAATTGCCAATGTGTTATTGATGCAGCATTTAAAAGTAAAGTTAAATGACAAAATACAGCCTAAAAAACCCCCCAAAACCCAATCAAAAACCCCTCTGTATCATCAGATGGTTTAGAGCACCAACAAAGAAATATCACATAGGCAAAATATTAGAAGACTTCTGTAGCCACCAGCAAAAGCCTGAAATACCTGTTAACAGTGGAATAGATCTGGTTGTATATACTCACTCAGTGTCATGGAAGACTGAAAATACAATATTAATGCTTTATTTATCCTAAGATGACATTTTCTCTTGTCTTCTACAGCCATTTTCTGGCTTTCTTGCCTTGTGTGTGTGTGTAACAGGCGTATACAATAGTCCTGTTGAAATCCTTTTTTCCCCAAAGCTCTGACAATGCTATTGCCTCTTGAGCTCTCAGACTTTCCCTTCTATAGCCGAGCAGACTACAGTTGCACACATGAAAGCAGTGGCTCTCTAAGCAGAATTTAATTAATTATCTTCTATTTTGAATTAAAATAGGAGCACACTAATGTAGTATAATTGGTAAACAATGCATAAGAATTTTTGTACCCAGTTCCCTAGTAATAATAGTACTATCATTGGAAGGAACAGGACTCAGACCTTATACTAACTGTGTCCTGTACTACCTACACATGAGCCCTGGCCTCCTAGATTTATTATAAACTTTTTTTGAGAACCTCCTGGGTGAAATGCAGCCTGACACTACATGCCTCTCTTTACAATGTACAGTTTAAATTCAGAACTTGAAAATATAGGCACAAGTTGAAAACAAAACCTCTGAATGACAAACAATTCACTGATGGTCAGTTACTCATCACGGGATTGCTACTAAAAGAAAGAG